CGGTTACCGTAATTTTCAGTTTACGAATGAAAATCCATTGAAAATAATGGCTCGGTTTACGAATTTTTTTTAAAATATGAACGGATTAATTGGTTTTCAATGCATTTATGAATGTATTTTTTTATCATGTCCCTGTACAGTATTTATGCCTTTAAAGTGCACTTTATAAAGAATTTTGAACAGGTAGACTTTGACTTTTTTCTGACCTCCGGAACGGATTAATTGGTTTTCAATGCATTTACAAATTTTTTTTTTTATCATGTCCCTGGTACAGTATTTATGCCTTTAAAGTGCACTTTATAAAGAGTTTTGAACAGATAGAATTTTTTTGACTTTTTTCTGACCTCCGGAAGGGGTTATTTGGTTTTCAATGCATTTACAATTTTTTTTATCATGTCCCTGTACAGTATTTATGCCTTTAAAGTGCACCTTATAAAGAGTTTTGAACAGATAGACTTTTTTTTACTTTTTTTCTGACCTCCAGAATGGATTAAGTGGTTTCACTGCATTTCCGAATTCATTTTTTATCACGTCCCTGTACAGTATTTATGCCTTTAAAGTGCACTTTATAAAGAGTTTTAAACAGATAAGACTTTTTTTTTACTTTTTTTCTGAACTCCGGAACGGATTAATTGGTTTTCAATGCATTCCTATGGGAAACCGCGTTTCGGTTTACAAATTTTTCGCAATACCTCGTAAACCGAGGTACGCCTGTATGAATAAATCTTTTGAAACGTTTTCCTGAGTCTGGGGAGAATGTCCATCTATGGCCGCCTACAACTAGTTTAATGTGTTTAAATGAAAAGGTGGTGGCATCTGGTCATCATTAAAAGCAGAGGCCAACTTTAACGAATTAAAGGGAAACTGAACTCTCTCAACATTTGTAATCCTTATGATGTTGGCCTTCATAAATATATAGGAAGAGATGTTACATTTACTTCTAAAACTTTTTTTTTTTTACTATTCTTCACTTGCTTCCTGGTTTTTGGCCTAGGCCAAAATTATGTGACATATCACAGGAGTTTTTATGGACATTTTTTTTCTTTCACTTGGAAGAGGGGAGGAGGGGTTCTCTCAGCTAAGCACACCCTCCTGCCTGCATGCCTGAGATAAGGGCAGATAGAGGTAAATGCTACATGAATCACCTGCCCTTACTCAAGATGGCCACTGCCAGTAATGCTGGGGGGCGGGGGGAGTTCAAAGTGATCTCTCAACAAAATAAAGCATAGAGACATGGATGGACTGGAGGGATGGGGGGGGGTGCTCTGAATATTAAACATAAATTAAACAGAATTTTCAGTCTGTGGTGCTCAGCTATACAGTTTGGTTCCATTTTAATGTTTTGAATTGAAGCCTTCAGAGCATTGCATCAGTGATCAGTGCATCGTGGGTGCAATGCGTGGGATCCTGCATTATCCCCCTATATATATATATATATATATATATATATATATATATATATACACACCCCCATCTCCATATCCGCACACATCCTCTGTTAATCTGGCCATACACTAAAAGAAATACATTCAAAAGCTTTTGTTTCAGAAACATTTCCTTCAATTTTAAATCGTTAGTGGGGTCAAGTGGACGTTTGTTTTCAACCAGAGTGATGAGAAGACTCAAAGGGGCTGGATGCAGGGGTGTATTCACAACAAGGCATTTGCCTAGGGCGGCATTTTTCAGGGGGGCAGCAGCTCCCCCTAGAAGAAGGGATGGAAGAAGGGACATGCACGCCATGGGAACCAGGTGGGATTCGAGAGAGGCTGCGGGCTGCTTGATGGTGTATGTAGAGCCCGACTCTCGTGTGAAGATGAGTGTCTTCCTCTCTATCACCTGGGGGTAGTGGTAGGCTCTCCCGGTGGGGGGCAGGGGTGTTGTTGGTCAGGGGGGGTGTTAGTTGTTTTCCGTGGGGGCAGACGATTTTTGTGTTGCCTACTGGCAGGATTTATAATTTTTCTCCAATTTTTCTCTAGCAGTGAATACGGCTTTTGTTTTGGAAATTACATTCATTTCAAAAGTGAATGTTAAAAGCAAGTGCAATTTTGAAGTACTTTCCATCGACATTCGTCAAGTCATTGAATGTACTGATAAGAATTTTCCTACGAACGTTTGTTTTGAAAATCTGCTAGTGTATGGCCAGCTTTATGAGGCTGCAGGATGTAAACAATTGACTAGGAGTGTGGTTCTCTCACTGCCCGTGCAATCTGCTCCTCGGTGGCAGATGGGAATTGTAGTCTTCCCATTCACAGATCCCCAGTGAATGGATGACATGCGGGTGGAGCCACACCCAACTGTGCTGAATTCAAATAAAAACAACCTGGAGCAAGAATTCAGGTAAGTGGATGGGAGGTTGGGGAATGCAACAATGCAGGGGCGGACTGACCATTCGAGCACTCGGGCACTCGGGTCAGTAGGGGGCCCCATGAAATGCCCCTGGTACCTTTTTATAGGCTTTTTTTGAGTGTGGGCAAGGACACAGGGGCCCCATGATCCCCTATTGCCCAGGGGCCCCATGAGTTGTCATTCCGCCCCTGCAAAAATGTTTCATGTTACACCTTTAATATGGGAGTAACATGAAACAAAGTATCAAAGATGGACTATGCTTTTAATCCTTGATTCTCCGTAATTAAAGGCAAATATGGTGGAAAATCCACTTCTACTTTCTTCCACCTTTAAGGGGTTAAGTCTGCCCAAAGCCATCACTCACCAGTCTTCACGATGATACAGATCTTTCATACAAACGATCAATCGCATTTAACAAAGTACCGGGATAGGCTGGTTCAGCGCCCAGGGCAAGGATGAGGAATTGTGCCCCCCCATCTCCTGCTTCCAATGCATGCCATAGAATGGAGTGTACCTCCCTACTCCAATTCTGCCCCCTTGCTCTGGCTGACGTTGAGAGTGCACTGCGCATGCGTGGCCAGCTGCTTGCTTTTAATAACTAGAAGGTCATTGCAAATTGTGTGTTTTTTGGTATGGGCGGAGAGTGGGCGGGGCATAGGGTGACAGCAAAAGCTGGCTGGTGTGTTTTGAGGGTATGCCCCTCCCCCGCCCTACTGCTGCCCCTTCCTGCCCATCCCTTGTCCTGGCCCTGATAGTAGGATAGCAAACTACAGATATGATCGTGCCAGATATAACAACTATGCTACCATGTGTTAAAAAAAGGTGCATGTGTATTTCATACAGTTAAAGCTGAACTCCGACTTGAGATTTACACAAGTCCATTACACAGCACAGCCAGATGGATCACACTTCTTACAGGTAGCGAATACATTGTTGGTCTCTCTCCCCACCTTCAGCCTGCTGATTGGACAATGAAAGAGCAGCAGCAGACTGATGGGGTCATCCCTCTGTTCTAACCACCTAACACATTTTCATGCAGCACATTAGATTCCCCCCGGTCCTGTAACTCCCTCTCCCAGTCTGATCTCTGTTGTGCAATGGATTGATAAGATGCTAATAGCCTGCTTGCATTGAAGTATACACTTGAGGATGTATTAATGAATATCAGCCCAGAGTTCAGCTCTAACTTTGACAATACAGGTGGTTGATTTTTCTGGCAGTGTCGCTTTACTGGAATTGACCCGAAATTTCAGGTTTCCACAAACCCCTGTTATTTGCCTTTGGGTAGCCTGATATTTCCAGCACCCAGTGACTGAAAAAATGTGACTCAGCGCCTCCCTTGTGTCAGGCTGAAGTCCTCAGCTCAGGTTTGGTCCGGCATCGGGAAACACTGAAATGACTCCGAAACCAACCAGGTTCTCCGTCCTCTCCTCAGAGATCTGTTGTGAACTTCAAGCTGTATGCTACATGGGGGATCTTTAGTCGCTTAGTCATGCCAAGAGTAGGTAGGTAATGTCCACATGTGATGCTGAGCCTCCATGACTGAAAGGGACAGGCCAAGGACAGTCAAGCTGTAGAGGAAAGGGTTCAGAGGTCTCAAACTGGTGGCCCTCCAGCTGTTGCCAAACTACAAGTCCCATCATGCCTCTTCCTTTGGGAGTCATGCTTGTAATTGTCAATCTTGCAATGCCTCATGGGACTTGTAGTTTGGCAACAGCTGGAGGGCCGCCAGTTTGACATCCGTGGGTTAGATGATTCTGAATGTTCACCAGCCATGAGACGAGGCGGGTTCTGCCTTGTGCTGAAGCTTCTACTGCACATTGTGAGACACTCACAGGGTGCAGTGAAACCAGAGTAAGCAATTTCAGGCCAGGAGGGGAGCCGGTACACCTGTGCGAGACTTTATGGGTGGCGATCGTCTGCTGCTCTAAATGAATAATCACAATTGACTGGAGGAGCCCAGCCTCTTATTCAGCCTGGTGAAGCCCAGTCTCTGATTCAACTGGGGGAGCCCATTCTCTGATTCAGGCTGAGGGAACACAGCCTCTGATTCAGCCTGAGGGAACCCAGCCTCTGATTCAGCCTGGGGAAGCCCAGCCTCTGATTCAGCCTGAGGGAACCCAGCCTCTGATTCAGCCTGGGGAAGCCCAGCCTCTGATTCAGCCTGGGGTAGCCCAGCCACTGATTCAGTCTGGAGCATCCCAGCCTCCGATTCAGCCTGGGGGAGCCCAGCCTCCGATTCAGCCTGGGGGAGCCCAGCCTCCGATTCAGCCTGGGGGAGCTCAGCCTCCGATTCAGCCTGGGGGAGCTCAGCCTCCGATTCAGCCTGGGGGAGCCCAGCTTCTGATTCAGTCTGGGGGAGCTCAGCATCTGATTTAGTCTGGAGGAGCTCAGCCTCTGAATTAATCTGGTGGAGCCCAGCCTCTAATTCAGTCTGGAGGAGACCAGTTGTCAGATTGGTCTAACATAACACATTGTTTTAGGACTGACTGAGAAGAGGACGGACAACCTGAATGTTCTGGAATGTTAACAGCTGAGATCTGCATATAAAGAACGTGTGCTTAAATAACAACCCCTTAATTGACCCAAGACAGACATGGTCCAGTGTTGTCTGCACTTGTGCAGATGGCTGGGATAGGAGCACCACCCCAAAGTCAGTTTGAGGACCGGTTTTGCACTGTGCTTATCATTATATTTGGGAGAGCGTTGCGGCGTCTTTGCCACAAACCAAGTTCTTGGGAGAAGCTTTTAATCTGCCGGAACCAGTGTTGAGTTCGGGGGCTGTCACTGTCCCGGAACACATAACCTTCTTTCCTGATCTCCAAGACTTCAAAGATGTCCTCACAGTCGGGGTCCATGGAAGCCACGCATTGTCCCAACCTCAGGGGGTCCCTGAGGACTGCAAACTTCCCATTACTTTTGTCCTTAATAAGAACCAAAACGGCGTCTTTGACAGTTTTCTCCAAAGAGGTGCCTTCCAGTCCAGAGTCGGAGGTCCTCTTTGCATTGACCATCAGCAGTGCGTGCACGTTCTGGAACTTCAAAGATTTGAAACCTTTCTTGACCCACTGCCCGTCCGTTGGCTGTGCCAACTGTAAAGGTCCCTCCTTTATAAAGCGGGTCTCCTCTCTTGGCCAACCGACCAGCTTGATGGCCATCTCCCTCATCTCGATGTTGGTCACCTCCCGGTTCTTTCTGCTCTCCCTCCGGAAGGATCTCAGGGTCCACGTGTTGCCCTCCTGTTTGGTTTTCATGTTGATATGTTCTAGTGCGATTCGATTCGGCTTTTGGCCTCCCAAAGGCTGCTGTGATCTGGGTGGAACTCGGTGGTACTTTTCAGGATTCGGCTCAGAAGGAGGGGGTACTTGGTGACCCTTTGCAGTGGAGCCATCAGGAATGAGCGCAAGTTCATGCGCGTAGAGCGGTGTTGTCATTCTGAGACACATCCAGGAATATTCTAGAAGAAATCAAGCAAAAGTAATTATTTGATCAACAAACTTCTTTATATATTTATGTCCTGTATTAATTTGATTATGTGATCAGAGTTCATATTGCCAGGCACTCAACTGGGACTACCCCCTTTGTAGGAGTCCCCTTCACCCAGGTGAGGCCAGGAGAATATGGCTAGCCATGGAAATACGCCTCATCATCTATCCCTTACCCTCCTTCCATCCCCCTCCTCCCCATTTTTGAATCTTTCTCTTTCTTCTGTTACTTTGTCTTCTGGTGATACATGGAGGATCTCTTACCCCCACTCCCAGCGTCTTTATGTACTCTCCAGTATGAGTCCTCCCCGCATATTCTTATTAGTACTTCGCATGCTGTAATTTGCAACCAACTTTTTATCCCGGTGCAATGCAAAACTGTCTGCAGTTGATTCTGCCATCTATGTCGGGGCCAGGAAACCTTTTGAGGCCTAGTGTGCTGAAACATGTTTGTAAGAAAATGAGTAGTGCCACCATTGGCTGACCACCAAACAGAGTCACCATTGGCTGACAGCTCTCATGCCAGTGTCTCTCCATACACTTTAAATGCACCTTCACATCCAGGGCTGTGGATAAGGGGGGGTACCACCAGTCCTCCTGTATGGGGCCCAGGCCAACGGGGGGGACCAGGCATTGGGTGAATCAGATGTGGGCAGGGAGGATGATCGGCAAAGCAGGGGGTTTAATTACTGGAACCGATCCCCTGTATGGCTCTCCCTACAGCAGCTGAAAGCTGGCTTCTTCTCTCCCTCCATACAGCACCTTTTCACCCCAGGGCAGGGGGGGACCAGGCATGTGGATAAGGGGGTACCACCAGTCCTCCTGTATGGGGCCCAGGCCAAGAGCATTGGGGTGAACCATGCAGGGATGATCGGCAAAGCAGGGGGTTTAATTACTGGAAACAATCCCCTGTATGGCTCTCCCTACAGCAGCTGAAAGCTGGTTTCTTCTCTCCCTCCAGCTGGCTTTCAGCTGCTGCAGAGAGAACCATCTAGGATATCGGTTCCAGTAATTGCCCCCTGCCTTGCCGATCACCCTCCCTGTGCACCATTTTTTTCCCCCCTGCTACCCAGGTGCCCTTGTGTCCCCCATCCCCCCGCAGCGCTGCTGGCTTTCCTGCTCTCCTTCCCACCAGCAGCTGCAAGCACACAATAGGATCCTTCAAGATGGAGAGAGGGGAAGGGTCCTGTAAATATGCCACATTTACCAGCCCCTTTCTTTCCTGAATTAACACAATGAATGATGGATATCAATCTCTCACTGTGTTCATTCATAACTGAAGCCTAGTAAACTGTGCTTTTTGGGGGGGGGGGGGGGGGGCTGGCAGGTTGGCTCTATGGGGCCCCGTGGTTTCTAACAGCAGACCGGTTCACACCACCTCGCTTCTCCTCACAACCTTCTAGACACCCACCATACATCTCTATTTTGGAGCCTGAGGAAGAAGGACACCCCAGAGAGAATTAGGGCACTACTAAAAGTGGGCGTGGTTATATAATGCTGAATTTAGGTATGGAGTCTGAGTCTACTCGCACACACTCCCCACACATATACTGCATTCGGGGCCGTGGATAAGGGGGTACCACCAGTCCTCCTGTATGGGGCACAGGCCAGCAGGGGGGCCCAGGCAGCTGGGTGAATATGATGTAGGCAGGGAGGGTGATCGGTACGACAGGGAAAATGACTGGAACCGATCCCTTGTTTGGCTTTCTCTAAAGCCGCTGAAAGCTGGCTTCTTCTCCTTTCCCTCACGCTGGCTTTTAGCTGCTGCAGAGAGAACCAGTTCCAGTAATTGCCCCCACCACCCCCCTTCACCCATCACCCTACCTGTGCACCCTGTATACCCCCACCCCTGCAGTGCTGCAGGCTTCCTTCTTCTCCTTCCCAGCAGCAGCTGCATACACACAATAGGGCCCTTCAGGATGGGGAGCGGGGGAAGGGTCCAGTAAATATTTCACATTTACCAGCCCCTTCCTTTCCTGAATGAATACAATGAGTGATCAGTACCAGTCACTCACTGTGTTCATTCATAATTGAAGCATAGTAAACTGTGTTTTTTTTTTGGCGAGGGGCCCCTGTCAGGTTGGCTGTATGGGGTCCCGTGGTTTCTAACAGCAGCCCTGACTGCATTCCTTGTACTCAAAAAATACTCCTTTAGTACCGGGTCACAAATAGTCTTACAGACACACATAAACCTCAGCACAAAAGATCATGTTTTTTTTTTTTAGTTTTTTTTTAATTAACCACTTCTCGTCCGGCTGTTGTTTATAAATGGCAGGACGGTGGCACTCCAGGGGCGGGTTGCCGAGCTTAAACGGCACCCGCATTTTCAAGCACTGCGATCCGGTGCCCCACTGTGTCCTCCGGACACAGTGCAACACTGATCATCCGACGGGACCTCTGTGCGAGGTCCTGATCATGTGATCACTGATTGGCCAATCAGTGATCACATGCAGAGTAGTAAGCAAGATGTCACATCTGACATCTTTACTTACTACGTGTGAAATATGTGAATGATCACAGAGGTCACACGGTACAGGGCTATTCACAACAGCCTTGCAGCATGTGACCAGCTGTGACCAATCACAGCTCACACAGTAGTTCTCAGTGGCTGCAAGAATGCAGCCAGAGAGAAGGAGAAATGATTGCTTTTACATACTTTATGGGTGGAAAAGCAAGCAGTGTAAAAAAAAAAAAAAATCTTCATCACCCCCCCCCCACAAGTAGGACAGTGACACCATGGTGACACTGTACTGCTAGGGTGACAGTATTAAAAAAAACCCCAAAAAAACAAAAAAAAAAAAAAATAATAATATAAAAAAAAATAAAATAAAAATGTACAATTTTTTTTTTTTAAATTATAATTTTTGGTTATAAACTAATTTGGGTTATTTTTTTTTACTAAAAAGATAATGGAATAAATTTTGGCCAAGATTTATGATGAAATATTATTTATTTGCAAAATTGTATAAGAAGAAAAACACTTTTTTTCAAAATTTTTGGACATTCTTATTTATATAGCAAAAAAAATGAAAATCCCAGCGGTGAATAAATACCACCAAAATAAAGCTTTATCTGCCCCAAAAAAATGCTAAAAAATTCATATGGGTACAGTGTTGCATGACCGTGCAATTGTCATTCAAAGTGTGACAGCGCTGAAAGCTGAAAATTGGCCCGGACAGGGAGGGGGTGAAAGCGTCCGGACTGGAAGGGGGTGAAAGCGTCCGGACTGGAAGGGTGGGAAAGCGTCCGGACTGGAAGGGGGTGAAAGCGTCCGGACTGGAAGGGGTGTGAAAGTGTCCGGACTGGAAGGGGGGTGAAAGTGTCCGGACAGGAAGGTGGTGAAAGCGTCCGGACTGGAAGGGGGGGAAAGCGTCCGCATTGGAAGGGGGGTGAAAGCGTCCGGGACTGGAAGGGTGGGAAAGCGTCCGGACTGGAAGGGGGTGAAAGCGTCTGGACTGGAAGGGGGGGGAAAGCGTCCGGACTGGAAGGGGGTGAAAGCGTCGGACTGGAAGGGGGTGAAAGCGTCCGGACTGGAAGGGGGGGGGAAAGCGTCCGGACTGGAAGGGGGGGGGGGAAGCGTCCGGACTGGAAGGGGGGGGAAAGCGTCCGGACTGGAAGGGGGGGCAAAGCGTCCGGACTGGAAGGGGGGGGAAAACGTCCGGACTGGAAGGGGGGGGAAAGCGTCCGGACTGGAAGGGGGGGGAAAGCGTCCGGACTGGAAGGGGGGGAAAGCGTCCGGACTGGAAGGGGGGGGAAAGCGTCCGGACAGGAAGGTGGGTGAAAGCGTCCGGACTGGAAGGGGGGGAAAGCGTCCGCATTGGAAGGGGGTGAAAGTGTCCGGACTGGAAGGGTGGGAAAGCGTCCGGACTGGAAGGGGGTGAAAGCGTCTGGACTGGAAGGGGGGGGAAAGCGTCCGGACTGGAAGGGGGTGAAAGCGTCCGGACTGGTCCGGACTGGGGGGTGAAAGCGTCCGGACTGGAAGGGGGGGGGAAAGCGTCCGGACTGGAAGGGGGGGGGGAAGCGTCCGGACTGGAAGGGGGGGGGGGGGAAAGCGTCCGGACGTGGAAGGGGGAAGGGGGGGCAAAGCGTCCGGACTGGAAGGGGGGGGGGGAAAGCGTCCGGACTGGAAGGGGGGGGAAAGCGTCCGGACTGGAAGGGGGGGGAAAGCGTCCGGACTGGAAGGGGGGGGGGGGGAAAGCGTCCGGACTGGAAGGGGGTGAAAGCGTCCGGACTGGAAGGGGGGTGAAAGCGTCCGGACTGGAAGGGGGGTGAAAGGCGTCCGGACTGGAAGGGGGTGAAAGCGTCCGGACTGGAAGGGGGGAAAGTGTCCGGACTGGAAGGGGGTGAAAGCGTCCGGACTGGAAGGGGGTGAAAGTGTCCGGACTGGAAGGGGGGAAAGCGTCCGGACTGGAAGGGGGGAAAGTGTCTGGACTGGAAGGGGGGTGAAAGTGTCCGGACTGGAAGGGGGTGAAAGTGTCCGGACTGGAAGGGGGGAAAGTGTCTGGACTGGAAGGGGGTGAAAGTGTCTGGACTGGAAGGGGGGGAAAGTGTCCGGACTGGAAGGGGGGGAAAGTGTCCGGACTGGAAGGGGGGGGGTGAAAGTGTCCGGACTGGAAGGGGGGTGAAAGTGTCCGGACTGGAAGGGGGGTGAAAGTGTCCAGACATGAAGTGGTTAAAATGAAATTTACACAATATATATTTGCTGCAAACTATAATCTAACAGGGCTGCTGATTCAAATGATATCACATTAGTGCGGCTTTTAGGTAACATACTGTAGCAGGAAGGTAAAGCTCAAAGTGACGGGATGCATTTCACTTTAGGGGAGGTTTTTCCTCCTTTCAATGCTACTTTGTGACACATGCAATAGAAAAAAAAAAAAAAAAAAAAAAAAATAGTTTGTGTAAATTGTTAGGATAACATTAAGATAAGATTACCTCGAGTTTGACGAAAGTATAAATCAGCACGACAGCTACTTCCCTACTTTCCCAGGTTTGTGATCTCTAAAACTTTGAATGATATTGTGTTCACTTGTGTGATATAGTTTATTTTTCTGTTTTTTGTTTTGTTTTTTTTACTTTTTTACATTGATTTTACACTTTCTTCTGGATATGGTCTGTTGGAACCTGATCTAGACCTCCCATGCAGCCAAGCCGCAGCCAGCCTGCAATAGATCACTATAGCAGTGACCTATTAGGGAGAGGCTGAAAAGAGCTGCCAGGGGCGTCCCTAGGCAGGTGCGGGGGGTGCGCGTCGCATCGGGTGACACCTGTTTCACGGGGTGACACTGGACCCCGCTCCACGAAAAAGGTACGTTTTAAAGCAAGCCGACGATCCCCGCAGAACTGTTGCAGCTGCCAGGGGCCTCCCTAGGGTTGGTGTCACCCTCCAACGATCCCCACAGGATGGATCGGATCTGCAGACTAAGCATAACGGATCACAGTCCGATCCATTATGCTCCCCAGTCCGCAGATCCGATCCATCCTGCGGGGATCCTCGGCTTTCTATAAAAGTTACCTTTTCGTGGAGCTCGTGGAGAGATCAGTTAACCCCGTATAGGTTGCATGCCGACGATCCCCGCAGGATGGATCAGATCTGCGGATTGGGAAGGATAATGGATCGGACTGCAATCCGTTATTCTCAATCTGCAGATTGCGCGCTGCACAAACTATCGGCGCAATATAAATCCTGTATAATAATAATAATATATTATATAGGATCAGGGGCGGACTGACCATTTGGAAACTCGGGCACTGCCCAAGGGCCCGGGGTCAGCAGGGGGCCCCATGAGATTCCCCTGGTACCTTTTTCATAGGCTTTTTTGAGTTTGGGCAAGGACACAGGGGCCCCATGATCCCCTATTGCTCGGGGGCCCCATGAGTTGTCAGTCCGCCCCTGTATAGGATGCACTTTGGAAACGTTGCGGAGGAAAAAACCTCGTCTGCAGTACCACTAATGGCCAACGGGTGGAGACGCCGTGTTTTTCCCCCACAGCACTGCTTGCTGAGATTAGTACATCTGCCCCTGGGGAGTGTTCAGAATTGTTTTTTTTCACACATTTTTACTCATTAGGTTCACTACTAAAAATATTTACTTACCATTTCATTTTACTAAAGTAAATATAAAATATCACACACAAACTTTTCTTAAAGCCAACCCCCCCCCCCCTCCCCCAGACAAACAGCTAAATATACAGATGGAATAGATACGGTATATGGAAGCTGTTGTACCTCTGCTTCTGTCCCTTCAGTCCTGCAATGTTGCTGACCTGACAGTTTGGCCATCTTGGTCACCTCCCCGCCCCGTCGTATGCTTATAGAGCAAAGGATAAGCAGCAGACTGACTAGCTCACCTCTCTGCTCTCTCCTCCTGTCAGCATGTGAGCAAGTGTACACGCAGAACCCCTGACTGTTGCTTAGTGCTGCCCTATCCTTCCCCAATCTGAGTTCTGCTGCACAGGATTTACAAGCGGTTAATACCGCAACAGATTTGAGTAATTACACTGGTTGCATTTAACCCTTTCCCGCCCACCCCTTGTTCCTACAAGAGCATTAACTGCCTGGGGTAGGAAATGGTCCGTCCATTAAAATTTCACCCCTGTTTCCTTTTAAAAAGTTCTGAAGGCCGGATGGGGTGGGGAGGTGGATAAGGGGTGACAGAAAAGATCATCCAGTTCTATCACCGCTGTGATTGGCTGTCACAGTGGTCACATGATAGGGAACTGGACCCGCCAGCTACCAATCATTAGCGAGGACCGAGATCTGTCTTTTATAGCTCAGTCTGGGTGCTGAGAGCATGCACTGAGCGCACTCTCAGCACGGAAACACTGTCTGCCCTGCAATGCATATGTGTGGGTGTTAAAGGCCACCCTTTTGCTGCCGCACATATGTGTTGGGCACAGGGGCAGACTGACAATTCATGGGGCCCCTGTGTCCTCACCCACACTCAAATCTACACCCAAAAAAGCCTATGAAAGGTACTAGGGGCATCTCACGGAGCCCCCTACTGACCCTGGGCCCTCAGGCAGTGCCCGAGTGCCCAAATGGTCAGTCCGCCCCTGGTTGGGCAATCGTAAAGGGGTTAAAGTTACTTTTGTGAAACTGACCTCAGGAGAGATCAGACTACACAGACTGCAGGGTAGGTTGAGCGGAACACCCTTCTATTCTGCAAGCAGAGATGGGACTGGCTGGCTTTGCCAGTTACACAAAGGCTGCTAAGAAGCACGCAGGCAGTGCTGGACCTTCTGGTCAGAAAGGTCAGCTTGCCCAGCAAACTACATGTCACAGATACACCCCTTGTTCAATGTGTACAACAAAGACTTTTTGTAAACAATTGAAATTCTTGAACCACTTGCCCTCCAGAGGATTCCCCCCCGCTTCCTGACCAGGCCATTTTTGACTTTTTGCTATTAAACATCTCCAATAAAAAAGTTTAAAAAATCTAATTTCCTCATAAATTTAGGCCAAAATGTATTCTGCTCCGTGTCTTTGCTAAAAGAGAAATCCCAATACGTGGAAATTAATTGGTTTACGTGAAAGTTATAGCGTCTACAAATGGCGGGAAAGATACTGGAATTTTAATTTTATTTAATACTAGTATAGCGGGACTGCGGCGGGCATTCTGACACTGGGGGGGGGGGGGAGCTGACTAACTGCCACTGACATCTCCAGTGACACTAATACAGTGATCAGTGCTAATAAAAAGCACTGACACTGTAATAAAGACACTGGGAGGGGTTAGATTTTGCTGTGTGTATTTTACTAGGCCAGGGGTAGGCAACCTGAGAGCTGCAGGACTACAAGTTCCATCATGTCTCTGCAAGTCATAGCTGTAACGGTCAGTTTTTGTAATCTTTGCAATGCCTCATGGGAAATGTCGTTCCACAACAGCTAGAGAGCCACAGGTTGCCTACCCCTGTACTAGGGAGACATGCTGCTGTGCAGAGATACAAAGCAGCATGTCCTTGCTGACAGGAGAGAGACCTTTGTTGTTTACACACAGGTTTCTCCCCTGTCAGCTTTACACGGCGATCGGGTGATTGACATCCCTAGCTGCCAATAGCGGCGTGGGCAGGGTGGCGTGCGTGTGCTCCCTAACCGGAAATGCAAATTACGTATATATACGTAATTTTGCGCAGCCCTGATGCCCTGTAGCAGTACTTCTACTATAGGGCAGTGGCCAAGCAGTTAAAATGATGAACATATACATTATATATGAGTGGTATAGGATATATGTGGTCACTGGAGGCATTGTCTCACCTTAAGAGCTCCTTCTCTTTTTCCAGAGCATTGAGCGTAGCCACCGATGTTGGCTGCTGGAGGCAGTAGGTCTGGAAGGCCGGCAGCATGTTGACAAAGTCCAAGAAGATCTCCCCAATGCAGACTGTCATCAAGTCATCGTCCCCCTGTGGAGGGGAGAACACAACACAAGGCTTGCTTAATGTCCGAACTAATGACTTTTAACAGAACGAGAGTAGAATGTATGTGCAGAGTTCAAATAAAGATACTTTTATTTATTGAAGGCACTTACTGGGGTTAGACAAAAAAACATGGAAACACTGCATGATGCAGCAGGTGTGAAAGTGACAACATGTTTGACGGTGAAAGCGGAAGTGATGTAATGCTCTTTTGCTTCCGCTGTGTGATGAGACACCTAACAGGCGGGGAGCCTCACTTTCCTCATTCACTGAAAGTAACATAGAGTCATTTCAGAGCTTACTGAGCTTCAGAGAGGACAAATTGTTGATGCCGCTTAGCTGGTGCCTCTGTGACTGAAGTTGCCAATTTATTTGCCACATTGGGAGGTACAGCATCAAAGATTATGATGGCGTATACAGTTTCCTGGAAAACGTCGTCTGATGAGCATAAGCGCGTTCAGCATGGTCAACTGACCGAAAGAGACAAAAGGATATCGCGCAGGATCCCGGAATAAGAAAACAACTGCTGCGAAAGTGACTGCAGAGCTCAATCTCAGTCCTCACAGGACTCAGTCTTCATGGGACTGAAATTGAGCTCTGCAGTCACTTATTCCAGAAATCTGCTTTATACAGCTAAAGGAGAAATTCCCTTTTCTCTGAGTGTATGTATTGTCATGTCCCATTCATGAGAGTGTATCCATGAGAAGACGGTGTCTCAGTCCTCACAGGACTCAGTCTTCACAGGACTGAGATTGAGCTCTGCAGTCACTTATTCCAGAAATATGCTTTATACAGCTAAAGGAGAAATTCCCTTTTCTCTGAGTGTATGTATTGTCATGTCCCATTCATGAGAGTGTATCCATGAGAAGACGGTGTATCAGTCCTCACAGGACTCAGTCTTCATGGGACTGAAATTGAGCTCTGCAGTCACTTATTCCAGAAATCTGCTTTATACAGCTAAAGGAGAAATTCCCTTTTCTTTGAGTGTATGTATTGTCATGTCCCATTCATGAGAGTGTATCCATGAGAAGACGGTGTCTCAGTCCTCACAGGACTCAGTCTTCACAGGACTGAGATTGAGCTCTGCAGTCACTTATTCCAGAAATATGCTTTATACAGCTAAAGGAGAAATTCCCTTTTCTCTGAGTGTATGTATTGTCATGTCCCATTCATGAGAGTGTATCCATGAGAAGACGGTGTATCAGTCCTCACAGGACTCAGTCTTCATGGGACTGAGATTGAGCTCTGCAGTCACTTATTCCAGAAATCTGCTTTATACAGCTAAAGGAGAAATTCTCTTTTCTCTGAGTGTATGTATTGTCATGTCCCATTCATGAGAGTGTATCCATGAGAAGACGGTGTCTCAGTCCTCACAGGACTCAGTCTTCACAGGACTGAGAGTGAGCTCTGCAGTCACTTATTCCAGAAATCTGCTTTATACAGCTAAAGGAGAAATTCCCTTTTTCTCTGAGTGTATGTATTGTCATGTCCCATTCATGAGAACGTATCCATGAGAAGAAGGTGTCTCAGTCCTCACAGGACTCAGTCTTCACAGGACTGAGATTGAGCTCTGCAGTCACTTATTCCAGAAATCTGCTTTATACAGCTAAAGGAGAAATTCCCTTTTCTCTGAGTGTATGTATTGTCATGTCCCATTCATGAGAGTGTATCCATGAGAAGACGGTGTCTCAGTCCTCACAGGACTCAGTCTTCACAGGACTGAGATTGAGCTCTGCAGTCACTTATTCCAGAAATTTTAAATCTGCTTTATTATACAGCTAAAGGAGAAATTCCCTTTTCTCTGAGTGTATGTATTGTCATGTCCCATTCATGAGCGAGTATCCATGAGAAGTCGGTGGTGTTATCTGCTTCCCCTTTTTTTGGTGATGGTCACAACCAGTTGTGATGGTCACCACTGAGGAGTGTGATATGCTCATTGATGGTTCAGATCTGGTAAGCTGCTAACCTTACCTCAAGTCACAGGATTTGACCATTGGAAAGAATATTTGTCACTGGTGCATAGAATTTTTGTGGAGTTATTTTATGGACTATTTACATTATGGACATTCCTTGTATAATGGTCAGTGATTGCTTCTAGTATTTTGCACTTTCATTTGCACTACTATTTGAACTAATATTGGCTTAGGAGGTCATTCATTGGTTTGAGTAGCACCTTTTTAATTCTTGTTTCTCTGCCTTTAATTTGCCCAACTATTTCATGTCTCTTTGCGCCCTGGGCTTTTACCTGGTCAAACGCTTGGTCAATCTCTTCTTGGAGGACCTCGAGGAACTTCTCATTGAGGTCGATGAGTTCCTGTATGTTGCTGAACACGACAGCCAGCTGCTCCTGAGTCAGTAATCCCGCAGCCTGCATCTGGAGGTAGAACTCCTCTTTAATGATCCTCAGATCCTCCCCGTAACTTGTCTCCGTGTTGACGAATTCCAGGACGGCTTCCTTGCGCTCCATGCGGTGGGTGAGGCATTTCACGCACAAGGTCTCTCTCCTCTTGCCCCGGCTCTCAGTGTCCATGGTGGAATTGCTTTCCCCACAGTCTATGCACGGCCGGTGGGCCTCCCAGGCCTCCAAAGAAGTGCTGGCTTCCGCCACTCTGGCTCTCCACCTCTGAGATAAGGCGTCCCCGATGCCGCTGTCCACCCGTTCCACCTCCCCGGGCTTGGCCAGCCTGGTGCTCCCTTCACACTCATCCTTCTCGTCGCTGACTCCTACGATGCCACTGTCGGTGCTCAAGCTGCTGATGTTGCTCCAGCGATGGCGTGACCGATAAGAGCGCTTTGCAGAGTTGGTACCCTCTTTGCTGGAGCTGCAGGAAGTGGTGGTGTTGGCTTTTATCAACATGGGCCCTGCACCATACAAAACATAGAAGTTAGTAACTTGTGAGTTGTCATCTAAAGAGTCAAAATTTAAGATAGACTAGCCTAGGACTGACCCTTCCACAGTCACTAACATAAGTCTCATGTTGGTGGAAACACAAACTTTTACACGCACTCCCGGCTGCTATACTATTAGGTTCATATTTGTTAAGCCGATTGTTAGGTTTCTGGTGGAAGCAATTTGGGCAGCTGTAGAGCTCTAATCACTAATGCCCCTCCCCTCATCCCAGGCTCCACTGCCCCCTCTATGGGCCTAGGGCCCCTGATGTCCTGTCATATACAGCATGTGATTACATGGGGGGGGGGATATTTTATAACAGTGCTGTCAGGGTCCTGTCCATGGCGGAAGTTCTGGAAGATCTAGCATTTCTGCCAGTGCTCTGCATGGCCACAGAAGTACACATCAGCCTCAGTCTGGTGCCAGACGGCCTTTATATGGAGGCCATCACTCCTCAAGTTGCTGGATGATCTCTAGCTCCCCGTGCCCTGTTTCTGATTCCTGTTTCCTGTGACTCTGACCTGTGATTTCCTGTTACCGACTTGGCTTGCTCCTGGACCTGTCTACTCTGCTGTACCCCTGATATGACCTCGGCTTGGCTTATGGATACTCTCTCTCGCTCCTCTGTGTATGACCTCGGCTATCCCATCTGACTATGTCTGCTCTGATTCCCACCTGGTACCTGACCTTGGCTTGAACCAACTACCCAGTAAACATCTAAATCCCGGAAGGGCTTGCATAGCTCGCACAGGCACCTCCTGTCTGCAGAACTATCTCCGTGCACCAGCTGTGCTTCTGAGTGGACCACCAACCAGCACTCCTACAGGCGACCTGTGCAACTTTGGGCCTGACTCCCGCTGTCCCACTCTCAGGGGAGTCCGGAACTTAGCCGCAAGGGAAGCCCTCTCTCCATTGGCCTCCATCACCAGGTATGTGATAAGTGCCAACGCATTTCAGGAGCCAAAGACCGCCCCCTTCATCAGAGCTTGAAGATGAAAAAAGAATGTATACAACTTAACCACTTCCAGTCCGGACACTTTACCCCCCCTTCTGGTCCGGACACTTTACCCCCCCTTCTGGTCCAAAGACACTTTACCCCCCCCCTTCCAGTCCGGACACTTTACCCCCCCTTCTGGTTCGGACACTTTACCATATACCCCCCCTTCCAGTCCGGACACTTTCACTCCCTTCCAGTCCGGACACTTTTTACCCCCTTCCAGTCAGGCAATTTTCAGCTTTCAGCACTATCACACTTTGAATGACTTTGAATGGTCATGCAACACTGTACCCTATGAACTTTTTAGCATTTTTTTGAGACAAATAAAACTTTATTTTGATGGTATTTATTCACCACTGGGATTTTTATTTTTTTGCTATATAAATGAAAAAGTCCAAACGTTTTGAAAAAAAAAGTGTTTTTCTTATAAAATTGTGCAAATATATAATCTTTCTTCATAAATCTTGGCCAAAATGTATTCAGCTATCTTTTTAGTAAAAAGAATTACCCAAATATATAAATTATAACCAAAAATTATAATTTTTCAAACTTTTTTTTTACATTTTTATTTAATTTTTTTTATATTATTATTTATATTTGATTTTTTTTTTAACATACTGTCACCCTAGCAGTACAGTGTCACCATAGTGACACTGTACTACTTGTGGGGGGTGATGATTTTTTTTTTTTTTTTTTTTTTATACACTGATTACTTTTACACCCATAAAGGCTGTAAAAGCAATCATGTCTCCTTCTCTCTGGCTGCATTCTTACAGCCATTGAGAAATACTGTGCGAGCTGTGATTGGTCACAGCTTGTCACATGGTACAAGGCTGTTGTGAATGGCCCTGTACCAAGTGATCTCTGTCATTATTCACAGATTTCACTAGTAGTAAGCAATGATGTCAGGAAGTGACATCTTGCTTACTACTATTCATGTGATCACTGATTGGCCAATCAGTGATCACATGATCGGGACCGCACACATGTGCGTTTAGTATTTTTGTCCAAAAGGTGATCTTATCCTTTAAACTTCCTGCTGATGACCGCTGCAAATCGAATCAGCAAAAGACTGGATACTTTGTATTTCAAACTAATTGTATACATTGTTTTTTCATCCTCAAGCCGTGACAATGGGGGTGGTTTCTGGCCTCTCAAATGCGTTGGCTGCCGGGCAATTAAACTGTGGCTTGGCCCTTCAATATCAGATCCCTTTAGGATTCTATTATTGTATCCCCGCTGGGGAGATTTGTCCTCTCTATTTGTTAGTAGGACAGGAAGTTCAAGGGATTTAAAATGGTTGGAAACCCTCAATAGCCTCAGTGAAGTGACTGGCCTCAGGTGATACACAGAGATTAAACAAATCCTCCTACATATGTTGTACCTGTTTATCTGCTGCCGCCTTTCCCTTACATCCATTCAAAGTGCAACATTTACATAGGATCTCTCAGTTCTGAAAAGCAGGGGGCGGGGAGCTGAAGTTGCATCAATGAACAGAGCTCTGAGAGCTGCTTGGAGGGAAAATACGCCTCCCCCTCCAGACAGGAACAGAGCTGAGGCTGATTGGAGGGAAAAGACACCTCCCCCTCCACACAGCACACAGGAACAGAGCTAAGGCTGTCAATCTGCTGGAGGTCCCTCCCCTGTCACCATTTTTCTCTTGGTGTCAGGGAAGTGACTCATGCTGATATCAGAGGAAGGAAGCAGCAGACAGAAATGGCACTTAGTGCTTTACACCGAGACAAGTACACACTATAGAGGGATATGCTTTGTTCATATTTCATGTCTGAGGTTTACAACCACTTTAAAGAAGAACCAAAAGCATTTTTGACAAAGTAAGGAAGAGTTATTTTCCATGTCAGTTGTTTTGTTCTGTCCCAATGGGGAGATTTCCCTTCATTTCCTGTCCCATAGCCAAAACAGGAAGTGAGAGGAAATCCATCTAAAGTGCGAGAATCTCAGGGTGTCACCAGAACTAGTTTCCCCATTGGAAGATTTCCCCTCTATTCCAGTTAGAGAGAGGGACACAGATAGCAATAAAAACCTGACAAGGGTTCTAATCCCTCTCTACTCCATCCTAAACTAAAAAAAAGTTTTGCCTTCAGTTACACTTTAAGGTTAAGTTTAGACATGTGGTTGGGGGGCAGTAAAATTGCATGGTTGAGCTGCATTTTTAGTGCCCACCCTTCCCAACAGCACTCCAATAAGATGCAAATGGAAGCAGACAGGGGTTTTTTACGTGCTGCATTTGTGATGCTTTGTTTTGCGCCCACAGGAAAGCCTACCTTTGTTGTGATTGGCAGGCAAACACGAACCCATTAAAGCGATTGCGGAAGTTCTGCAAATACCCTGCGATCGCGTGCATTGCATGTGGGTGCGCTGCGTTTGTTGGCAAATATGGGGTTAAAACGGGTGGTGAGGAGAGGTCACATCGCCTCCTCACTGCCTGTTAATCGCTGCGGAAAAGCAATCTGAACTCAGATTGCTTTTCAGAGGAGAGGTGGAGTAATGTAGGCCATAGACGGGTCGAAAACCAGCCATTTTTTTTTTTAAATGAAAAGTCGGTCGTTTGATTGGCCGACGTTACCACCAACGGTAAAAAAAATCGGCCGATTTTCGTCCCGTCTACGGCTGACATTTAACCCCATAATTACTTCTGTCCCTGCAGAGAGCTCCGCTATTATATTTTATATGAAAAAGTCTTGCAGTTGCAACAATGTATCCATTTGTATCCATTTCAGATACAGATGTTTTTATTCGGATACAAATGGATACATTGTTGCAACCGCAAGACTTTCATATAAAATATAATAGCGGACTGGAATTCTTCTTTTTCTTCTTCTTTTTCTTCTTCTTTTTCTTCTTCTTCTTAATTTTCTTCTTCTTTTTCTTCTTCTTGCAGTTCACGGCTCATGCGCAGATTTTTTGTCGATAAAACGATCGGCCGATTTGCCCATCATTGCTGGGAAATCGGCCAATCGTCAAAATCAGCCACAAATTTTCCAACATTCCCGATAAAAAAAATATGCAAAAAGCCCGAAAAACGGCCGACCAATTAACTCACTAACGGTGTGAAAATCGGACAATTTTTTTTTTTTCGACCCATCTATGGCCCCCATTAGACAGACATCTGAAGAGATTACTCTCCCAGTTCCGCTTATGTCTCCAGGACAGGAAGTGAAAGGAAATCCCCCCCACCCAAAAAAAATAAAAAACTGTCAGGGGTTCAAACCGTTTCCTATTCTACCCAAAATTAAACGTTTTGGATAGAGTGGTGATGGGTTAGTGTTGGATTAAATGTCCGCCCAAAGCAATGAAATGTCCATTGTTGGTGGATGTTCTCGGTGACATATACAGTAGAATACAATCCCAGCTTTCCATTAACCCTTCCATGGGCTCAGGCTTCTCCCTGGCAGTAGCAGACCCCTCTGGTGGGTGGGGGTTGGGTGGGGGTCAGCATTAATGTGAGTATAATAGCTCAGTGGGTACCGTTCTCTTTGTCCTGCCTCTGCCGCTGTGCGTGCTGCCGGGCCGCCGCTGCAATCTTCAGCTCCAGCTGTTTCCTCTTCACTGCGTCCGTGGGCATGGGGTCACTGAAGTGCGGGCGCAGGCGGCAGCCACGCTGGCTTTTCCCTGAGTCACCGGCTTCATGAGTCATGTCTGAGCTCGACCTCCGACACCCGGGACTGCAGAGCTGAAAGACACAGATAATGAGAAATAATGAATGACACTATTCCAACCCTCCATCCATCCATCCATCCGTCTATCCATCCATCCATCTATCTATCTCTCATATTTGGTATATGTGTTCCATAGGTATGTTGTGTAGCGCACCTCTAGATAGCCAGGGGGAGCTGTATGTTTAGTGTACTCTGCTACTTTGCCCCCCCCAAAAGCTGCGTCCTGTGCCCCCCCAAAGCAGTGTTCCCCCTGCCCCCTTTCACATTACTTCCCCCCAACTGTAGTGTCCAGTGCCCCCCAAAACAGTGTCCTCTGCCCCGCTTCCCACTACCCCCCCCTTGTAGTGTCCTGTGCCCCCTCCAAAGCAGTGTCCTCTGTCCCTTGCACATCATTCCCCCCCCACTGTAGTGTCTTTTGCCCCCATAGCACACACATCACCCCCCATTGTAGTGTCCTGTGCCGCCCCATAGCAGTGTCCTCTGCCCCAAGCAGTGTCCTCTTCACATCAACTCCCCCCCACTGTAGTGTCTGCCCCCCATAGCAATGTCCTGTGCCCCCACTCAAAATAGTGTCCTCTGTCCCCCTTCCCTCTACCCCCCCCTTGTAGTGCCTGTGCCCCCCTCCGACAGGAGTGTCCTGTGCCCCCTCCAAAACAGTGTCCTCTGTCCCTTTCACATGACCCCCCAACACTGTAGTGTCTTCTGCCCCCCATAGCAGTGTCCTGTGCCCCCTTAAAGCAGTGTCCTTTGTCCCCCTCACATCACCCCCCCATTGTACTTTCCTGTGCCGCCCCATAGCAGTCTCCTTTGCCCCCCCCCCCAGCAGTGTCCTCATCACATCAACCCCCCCCCCCAGTGTAGTGTCTTCTTCTGCTCCCCCCCCCATAGCAATGTCCTGTGCCCCCCGCTCAAAGTAGTGTCCTCTGACCCCCTTCACATCACCCCCCCCCACACTGTAGTGTCCCGTGCCCCCTCCCACCCCATAGCAGTGTCCTGTGACCCCCCAAATCAGAATCCTCTGTCTCCTTTATATCACACCCTCCTTCCATTGTTGTGTCCTCTGCCCCTTGGCCCTTCCCTTCCCCTGTAGCATTGTCCTGTGCCCCCCCCCCAAACAGTGTCCTCTTCCCCCCTTCATATCACCCCCCCCATATTGTCCTCTGCCCCACTGCCCTCCCCATAGCAGTGACCGGTTCCCCCTCCCACACTGCAGGTAGCACAGAAAGCAGGAGGTATCACAGTACTGGATAAAGGGCAGGAGCTGCCAGAATTAACTTTTCACATTTACAAGCAAGTGATTGGTTGCTAGGACCACCCGGTGTCTTAGCAACCAATCACCTGCAGGTTAACTCAAAAGGTGAACTGAGGCAGCTCCCACCCTCCATCCAGTACTGTGATACCTCCCGCTCTCCGCTCTGCAGTGAATGGCGGAGGCTCGGGGGAAAGACCGGCAAAGCACGGCCACCTTTGCAATCTATCCGTCAGCTGCCCATAGTCACATGTAGATCGCAATCTGCGGACTTGCCGACCCCCGCCATAATGTCAGGGACGGACTGACAACTCATGGGGCCCCCGGCCAATAAGTGATCATGGGGCCCCTGTGTCCTCGCCCACACCCAAAAAAGCCTATGAAAAAGCCAATGAAAGGTACCAGGGGCATCTCATGTGGCCCCCTACTGACCCCGGGCCCTCGGGCAGTGCCCGAGTGCTCGAATGGTCAGTCCGCCCCTGCATAATGTATTTTATACACTTTACAGCTCAGTTCATACACGTGCAATGCAGGAACACCAGCAAAGTCACGTGCATTCCCGCAATTTACAAAAACGCACGTCTTTTTTTGCAGGTGCGCTGCAATGCCATTCATTCCTAATGGTACCCTAACACATGTTGCTAAAATGAGTGAGAAAATCCGGGGCCAGAACGCATGTGTGACAGGAGTCACTTTGGGTGGGGGGGCCCATGGAACACAGCTCAATTTGGAGAGGTGGGGAGACCCCTGTCTCAGCTCCCCATATCCCTCTTATGTGTAAGTCACCCTGTGCCTGTTAGGGGTACAGGGTGATCTGTCCTAATATTGGGGTGGGGGGTTGTGGATTGTTTAATGCCATGTGGTTGCATCCCATTGTTCTATTGTGTGTCTTGCATGGGAGCAAAGTATTATGGGATGTATGTGTTTATGTGTATTGGCTTGGTGGGGGGTATCTCCAGCAGCCCTCCCTACTGATGGGACTGTCTGTTGGTGTGTCTCTTGTTACTAAATGTAGATTGCCCCGCCCTGTGTCATTATGCAGGGAGGGGGGAGTTGTTCCCTTGAATGTATATATCTTATATCTGTGTTAAAATAAACTAGTCTATTTCCTGGTTTACTTCAAGACTGGTGTCTAGTCTCGTATGGTCTGCTGTGGTGGCTGTGGTCGGTGTTCGGACGGGGAAGCGGTATCCTAACGAAAGTACCCAAGCGCAGTCGGGGTCCGGTTCCGTTGCAGCATGTTGGTAAAATGAGTGAGAAATCCGGGGCCAGAACGCATGTTGCTAAAATGAGTGAGCAATCCGGGGCCAGAACGCATGTTGCTAAAATGAGTGAGAAATCCGGGGCCAGAACGCTTGTTGTAAAATAAGTGAGAAATCCGGGGCCAGAACGCATGTTGCTAAAATGAGTGAGAAATCCGGGGACAGAACGCTTGTTGGTAAAGTGAGTGAGAAATCCGGGGCCAGAACGCATGTTGTAAAATGAGTGAGAAATCCGGGGCCAGAACGCATGTTGCTAAAATGAGTGAGAAATCCGGGGCCAGAACGCTTGTTGCTAGAATGAGTGAGAAATCCGGGGCCAGAACGCATGTTGCTAAAATGAGTGAGAAATCCGGAGCAGAACGCTTGTTGGTAAAGTGAGTGAGAAATCCGGGGCCAGAACGCATGTTGGTAAAATGAGTGAGAAATCCGGGGCCAGAACGCATGTTGGTAAAATGAGTGAGAAATCCGGGGCCAGAACGCATGTGTGACAGGAGTCACTTTGGGTGGGGGGCCCATGGAACACAGCTCAATTTGGAGAGGTGGTCACCCTGTGCCTATTAGGGGTACAGGGTGATCTGTCCTAATATTGGGGTGGGGGGTTGTGGATTGTTTAATGCCATGTGGTTGCATCCCATTGTTCTATTGTGTGTCTTGCGTGGGAGCAAAGTATTATGGGATGTATGTGTTTATGTGTATTGGCTTGGTGGGGGGTATCTCCAGCAGCCCTCCCTCTGTCTGTGTGTCTTTTGTTACTGTCCAGTTGGTGTGCAGCATTTGCTAAAATGACTAAATCCGGGGTCCAGTTCCGTTGCATGATGTCCGGGGCCTAACGCATGTTGTACAATGAGTGAGAAATCCGGGGCCAGAACGCATGGTAACAAATCACAGATTTATAAAGCAAGGTGCTTGCATTGTCATGTGTCAGCCTATTGAAATGAAGGAGCATAAACGCAGGTATCATTGCTGACCTCCCCTGCACAGGAGAAGGCAGTATAGCATGCATTGCTCCAAAGCAGCCTTCTCCTGCTGCTCACGGCAGGCTGGGACTTGTGGTGCCTCACCTCGGACTGGAGCCAGACTCCATGCAGCTCATCTTTTTATTTCTCTCGGTGAAGTGTATCCCGATCACGGGGGAGCAGAGCCATCCATTCACAAGGAGATTGTTGGATGTTCCAGTCTGCGGGATGGATGTACAGAGCCAATGACGCACCCCCCCCCCCCCCACCTCCGCAATGATGAAAAGAACGATCGTTGGGGAAAGGCGATGATCTATTTTCTGCATCCAGCTATAGAATAGACTTCATAGAGTGGATACAGACCAGAACCGCTAATGATCGGGTGTAAAGGACGATATTACCTGCAGGAAGCCGCACCCCGGCCGGGAGATAATAGCGACACCAATTTCTATACAAAAAGGAGGCTGTGCGCTTACTCCACCCAGAACTGAAAAGTCGCTTGTGACCGGGGGAAGGGTTTACAGGAGCAGATATGTATATTTCTAGTATTAAAGTACTGCATGCTCAGTAATGTGTCAGTAACACTTCCAGGTATTCGGCGCCATCTTTGTTCCGGCATCATCCGGTGTCACCATCTACTCCCTGAGATGCCGGCTCAGAGGTGACACCATCCTGTACAATCCCGCCCAATGCAGCCGTCATTGATATCCACTTACACTGGGTTTGAGGTCAGCGGTCACCTCGGTGCTCGGTGCGTTTTCACAGCTTGGCGTTGCCATTGAGACGGCGAGTGATTGACAGCTCTGTCCCTCCGACGTGCTGCTATCGGTTTTCGGGATGTCACATGATCCGCTGGCTGGAGGCTCACCGCTGTCAGTGGTACAACTGCGAGGAGAGAAGAAGAGGGTCAACCAACATCCATCACCAGCAATTATCACTGCCTGCAGCTCCAAAATATAACATCTATACCTGCACAGGGATGGTGGGAACCCCTCATAATGGGCGGGTGTACAGCGGGAAGTCAGCACAGACCCAGGGTACAAGTCAGCACAGGGATGGCGGGAACCTCTCATAATGGGCACAGCGGGTGTACAGACCCGGGAACTCGGCACAGGGATGGTGGGAACCCCTTATAATTGGCACAGCGGGTGTACAAACCTGGGAACTCAGAACAGAGATGGTGGGAACCCCTCATAGTGGGCACAGCGGGTGTACAGACCTGGGAACTCAGAACAGAGATGGTGGGAACCCCTCATAATGGGCACAGCGGGTGTACAGACCCGGGAACTCAGCACAGGGATGGTGGGAACCCCTCATAATGGGCACAGCGGGTGTACAGACCCGGGAACTAGGCTCAGGGATGGTGGGAACCCCTCATAATGGGCACAGCGGGTGTACAGACCTGGGAACTCAGCACAGGGATGGTGGGAACCCCTCATAATGGGCACAGCGGGTGTAAAGACCTGGGAACTCAGCACAGGGATTGTGGGAACCCCTCATAATGGGCACAGCGTGTGTACAGACCTGGGAACTCAGCACAGGGCAGGTAGGAACCCCTCATAATGGGCACAGCGGGTGTACAGACCCGAGAATTCAGCACAGGGATGGTGGGAACCCCTTATAATGGACACAGCGGGGGTACAGACCCGGGAACTAGGCTCAGGGATGGTGGGAACCCCTCATAATGGGCACAGCGGGTGTAACAGACCCGGGAACTCAGCACAGAGATGGTGGGAACCCCTTATAATGGGCATAGCGGGTGTACAGACCCAGGAACTCAGCACAGGGATGGTGGGAACCCCTCATAATGGGCACAGTGGGTGTACAGACCCAGGAACTCAGCACAGGGGATGGTTGGAACCCCTTATAATGGGCACCCTATAAAGCTTGCACCACTGCAACCACGTGCATTGCATGTGACTGAGCCCTTAAAGTATACAGGCTTTTTAAGTTTTGGATAAAGTGGAGAGGGATTAGAACCTCTGTCAGGTTTTAATTGCTGTCTGTGCCCCCATTAGGGAGATTTACCCTCCTGATCTGTCCTGGTGAATAAAAGCCAAACAAAATCCCAACTTTTGGGTTTTCACCAGAACAGGAATAGAGGGGAAATCTTCCAATGGGGTATCTAGTCCTGGGGACAACCAGAGATTCCCTCACTTTGGAAGAATTTCCTTTCACTTCCTGTTTTGGATATTGGACAGGAAGTGATGGGAAATCTCCGCAATGGGACAAAGATGAAAAGAAGAATCTGAAAGGGGTTTTAACCTTCCCTTACTCTATCCAAAAGGAAAAAAAAAATACTTTATTGATGTGAATATGAATCTACAGCTGTTTATCTGCGGGTTTTATACCTTCCTGGAGTTTAGCTTTAAAAATTGTATATTTATATTTATTTATATATACCGTATATATATATATATATATATATATAAGGGGCGGACTGACAACTCATGGGGCCCCCGGGCAATAGGGGATCATGGGGCCCCTGTGTCCTTGCCCAAACTCAAAAAAGCCTATGAAAAAGGTACCAGGGGCATCTCATGGGGCCCCCTACTGACCCTGGGCCCCAGGCAGTGCCCAGTTTCCAAATGGTCAGTCCGCCTCTGATATATATATATATATATATACACACTCATTGGTTACTTTGTTAGGTACACCTGTTCAATCACTTAGTAACACAAATTGCTAATCAGCCAATCACACGGCAGCAACTCAATGCATTTAGGCATCTAGACGTGGTGAAGACGACTTGCTGAAGTTCAAACCGAGCATCAGAATGGGGAAGAAAGGGGATTTAAGTGACTTTGAACATGGCACGGTTGTTGGTGCCAGATGGTTTGAGTACTTCAAAAACTGCTGATCTACTGGGATTTTCCAGAACAGCCATCTCTAGGGTGTACAGAGAATGGTCCGAAAAAGAGAAAATATCCAGTGAGTGGCAGTTGTGTGGAGGAAAATGTCTTGTTGATATCAGAGGTCAGAGGAGAATGGGCAGACTGGTTAGAGATGATAGAAAGACAACAGGAACTCAAATAAGCACTCGTTACAACCAAGGAATGGAGAATACCATCTCTGAACGCGCAGCACGTCCAACTTTGAAGCAGATGGGCTACAGCAGCAGACGACCACACCGGGTGCCTGTGTACCCATCTTCTGATGGCTGCTTCCAGCAGGATAATGCATCGTGTCACAAAGATCAAATCATCTCAAAATGGTTTCTTAACCACTTCAAGTCCAGACACTTTCACCCCCTCCCTGTCCAGGCCAATTTTCAGCGCTGTCACACTTTGAATGACAATTGCGTGATCATGCAACACTGTACCCATATAAATTTTTTTGCATTTTTTTGAGACAGATAAAACTTTATTTTGGTGGTATTTATTCACCGCTGGGATTTTTAATTTTTTTTTGCTATATAAATGAAAAAGTTCAAAAATTTTGAAAAAAAAGTGTTTTTCTTATAAAATGTTGCAAGTAAATAATATTTCATCATAAATCTTGGCCAAAATTTATTCCGTTATCTTTTTTAGTAAAAAAAAATAACCCAGATTAGTTTATAACCAAAAATTATAATTTAAAAAAATTTCTTTTACATTTTTATTTTTTTTTATATTATTATTTATGTTTTTTTTTTAACATACCATCACCCTAGCAGTGCAGTGTCACCATGGTGACACTCTACTACTTGTGGGGGGTGATAAAGATTTTTTTTTTTTTTTACACTGATTGCTTTTTCACTCATAAGGGATGTAAAAGTGATCATTTCTCCTCTCTGGCTGCATTCTTGTTTTTTTTTTTGCATACTGTCACCCTAGCAGTAGTAGTGTCACCATGGTGACACTGTACTACTTGTGGGGGGTGATAAAGATTTTTTTTTTTTTTTAACACTGATTTTTTACACCCATAAAGGATGTAAAAGCAATCATTTCTCCTTCTCTCTGGCTGCATTCTCACAGCCACTGAGAACTACTGTGTGAGCTGTGATTGGTCACAGCTTGTCACATGGTACAAGGCTGTTGTGAATAGCCCTGTACCATGTGACCTCTGTGATCATTCACAGATTTCACACGTAGTAAGCAATGTCAGAAGTGACATCTTGCTTACTACTCTGCATGTGATCACTGATTGGCCAATCAGTGATCACATGATCGGGACCTCGCACAGAGGTCCCGTACGACGATTGGTGTTCCACTGTGTCTGGAGGATCGCGGTGCTGGGCGCTCCCAGGGAGCATGCACATTTTGAAAATGTGGGTGTCGTTTATGAACGGCAACCCGCCCTTGGACTGCCACCATCCTGCCGTTTATAAACAGCGGCCGGACGGGAAGTGGTTTAAACATGACAATGAGGTCCCTGCACTCCAAAGGCCTCCACAGTCACCAGATCTCCATCCAACAGAGCACCTTTGGGATGAGGTGGAACGGGAGATTTACATAATGGATGTGCAGTCGACAAATGCTATCATGTCAATATGGACCAAAATCTATGAGGAAGAGATTTGTTGGATCTATACCAAAAAGAATGAAGGCAGTTCTGAAGGCAAAAGGGGGTCCAACCCGGTACTAGCAAGGTGTACCCAATAAAGTGGCTGGTGAGTGCATATATATATATATATAAATTATAGTAATTGTATGTATAAATATACAAAAGACAATACATTCCACTTATGAACCCATTGAGCGTATTACCTCTTCTTGATGAGGTCCAGGGCGGACCCTATGAGGCCATCCTTCATCTTCTGCAGCTTGGCACTGTAGCCGGACAAGTCAGTTGCTTCTAAAAGCAAAGATGGACAGCAAGAAGAGTGGGCTTCAGAAGCATGACTGTGCTCGGCCACACCAAGGAATCCACCCGATCTACGTGCATCATCATGGGGCTCACACACTACAAGCTGGTCTTTCTCACTATGCATGGTTAGAGCCTGTAATGGGAAACTCGGAAGAGGACTGGAACAAATGGGAGCGGTGGATGCAGGCCGATATGAAGGGCAAGCTCTGCTGTCTAATGGGCTATGCTCTACAAGGTGTGGAGTTTGAGCAGTCAGCATCACCATCACTCAATGACGTCCTGGGTCGTGAGTCCGATGTCTCGCTGCTTTCAATGGTCAGGGATGTAGATCTGTCCTCCACAGCCGTCATCTCTAGGTCTGGCCTGTGGCTGGAGATGTCTGTATTAACTTTCCAGTGAGGGTTTCTATCTTTGTAGTCTTGCTCTGGCTGATTTTTGGCCAAGGATTCAGTCGTTTCCGAACCCTCGTCCTCCTTTGTCGTAGAGTTTTTCTCCTTGTTGCGCATTCTCTTAAACTCTTCAAATGTTGGGATGTACAATTTGCCTTTCGCGCCTGGCTTTTTGGCAGAGTCTGTTTCCCAACCTCTTCCAGGACACAGTGTCTGTTCATTGAAGGACTCGGCAGTCTTTGACTTGACCAAACCACCACCATCAGCCTCTCCTTGGTACAGAGTCAGGTTTGGCGAGCTGTTTTGCCTTCGTAGCTGTAGCCGTCTCCAGGCCTCCTGCTTTATGTGCTCTGGAGTAGTCCTGTGAGCTAAAAAGCTTGTGCAATGCCTGACCACTGCATTTGTGCTATTTGAAAGTGCAGAAGACATACTGCAGGCCAACATACGCTTACAGTGGTGGCATGGCCTATCCGCCGGGGTTCTCGCAACGCAGTCGGCTATCAGAGTCTGTGGGCGGATAGGCCTAGTGGGTTCCGTGGTCTTGGAACTGTGAGTTCTTAGCTTTTCTTTCAGTTCCCGTTTGGCATCACTGTAGGAGACCTTGTCGTCAACAGTAGGGAAAAGCCAATGATGGATTTTGGCAAGTGGGGGCATCGGCAGGTCCCGGTGAAAGGCTACCTTGTCCGTCACACCCTGGACAGGCATTTTCTCCTCTGACCCTTCCGACAGGTGCCGAGTGCTTCTACAATGCAGAATAAATTCACTATCCAAGTTTCTGTAGTGTGCAAACATGCTTGACTCTGCCCAGTGTAGGTTTTCCAAGCTCCGATACAGCCTGGGTTCAGCCATAGCACCAGGTGCTGTGGTGCCTACTTGCCATGCCCGGAGAGGGTGGCAATCCCCGCCGACAAAATGGCACCCTACACTCTTTAACGGATGCATGCTGCTCAGCGAGGGCTCCTCTAAGCCATGATTTGTGCTCAGTGGGTAGCTGTAGGGGCTCAGGGTGGTTCTGGAATGTTCATGCAGATCATCGGCAGGGATGTATGTCATAGCAGATGGGCATGGGAAGTTTGCACACGGATGTTGGAGGAGACAGAGGGGCCCGGGAATACAGCCGTGATGATGCGGAGTGTCCATAGCATGGGGAGCAGGCTGCTTTGCTGAGAGTACTCACATGCTAGTAGTAGTGGGGCTGAGCACTCTGTGTGGAGGCCACAGTGGGGACATGGCTAAGGTAATCCGCTCAGTCGAGGCACCCTTCCAAAAACAGAAAGAAAACACTATCAGTAATAATATAAATCAATTGGACTCAACTTCTGCATCACAGATAAATTACAAAACATCATTATGTCTTCTAAAAAGTTTGTCTCTACCTTTAAACCATTACAAAGTATGCAACGCAAAGCCAAACAACATTGCTAACATACAGTACATCTTCACAGCAGCCAGGAGGACCATTGCCTGAGCCTGAAGACCCCAACCCTGTTTTTTGGAGTTCAAGCATGGAGTGTCACAGACTTTTTTGAAAAACTTACAGAAATACAAAAAGATACACTATATGGCCAAATGGTTGTGGACACCTGACCATCAGACCCATAGGAGCTGGTTAGACATTCCATGCCAAAATCACACTCATTAACATGGAGTTTCCCCTCTGCCCCCATTGTCATTAATATAGAGTTGTCCCCTGTTGTGTGGCTTTAACATCGTCCACTCTTCTTGGAAGGCTTTCCATTTGTTGCCCATTTGAGAAATGAGGTACTGATGTTGGATGAGAAGACCTGGCTCATGTGTTGGGTCTCACATTGGGCACCAAAAAAAGTCCTGGTTCACATGTTGGGTCTTACATTGGGCACCAAAAAAAGACCTGGCTCACATGTTGGGCCTCACATTGTGCACCAAAAAAAGACCTGGCTCACATGTTGGACCTCACATTGGGCACCAAAAAAAGACCTGGCTGACATGTTAGGCCACACATTGGGCACCAAAAAAAAAAAAGACCTGGCTCACATGTTGGGCCTCACATTGGGCACCAATAATA